CCAAGTCCCGCTTGGCATAGTGCCAAGGGAGCTTGGTTTAGTGCCCAGGGGGCTTAATCAAGCAGCTTGGCTGGGCCACGGATCTTGGCACACAGCCAAGTTCTTCTTGGCACAACCCAAGCTCTAGGCTGATGAGTGATCACAAACCACCGAGTCAACAGAGGTCAACAAGGTAGTTGATCACTCAAGTAAGTCCATTTTTTTTTCTTTCATTCTTATGTGATGTCTAGAGAAAAGTCAAAAAAAAATGTTTTAGATGTGTTAGTTGTGTAGAGCAGTTGATACCCAGACTCCAATACTACCTATGTACTGGTCAAGAATTGAGCCCGCCGACCAAGTTCGGTGGGTGTACTCTTAAGAATCAACCCCACTGACCAAGTTTGGTGGGCGTACTCCCACTTGGCCGATGTTGACCCACCCCAAGTTGGCTATATGCCAACCGGGCCTTGGGCATGTGCCAAGCTGGCTTTAGGGTTGGACCAGTGCACTTGGGCTTAAAACCACCTAACTTTGGTGGGTGCCCAAAGGAGGTTGAAACACCATATTTGATACCCCCTAATGGATAAATTTATTTTTTAATAATTGACTGATTTCTAATTGTGGATTTGTTATATTTGATACCCCCTAATAAATTAACCCTGAAAATATGCAATTTTGTGAAATATTGTAATCAACATTGCCTGGTAAAGACATATTGGCCTGTGTGAAGCTTATGAATCCCAGATAGATGAAGCCACACTTCCAAAAATGAACACATCAGGCACAGATTTGGTAGCTTAGTTGGTAAAGGCAGCCCTTCTAGCATAGCGGCTTAGCTTCTAGCTAAGTTTTCTGGTTCAAATTCTGCCCAAGTTATTCTTTCTTGCTAAATTCCTGAAAATTACATTGTTAATTTCAACAACTTAAAGTATGCATTTAATTCTTTTAGGATTTTTTATAAATTAACACTTAAACTTATAACAAATCCTGACATCATTAATTCATCAAAAGGCTCCTGATAGTGGAGAAATTAAGTTGTGCAAATTTATCACAAAGTTAAAATTATCCATTGATTTAATTCACAGTAATTTAAATCTTATTAATTCCAGATAATGTTAGAACTAATTAGAACATAGATGCATTACTTAATCACATCATTGCACAGACTTGATCTCTCTACATGATTTCCAAGTGCCTGAGAGTCCTCCAGGTACCACCCATGAGTACTTTTGATACATCCCTGAAGATATATAAGCACTTTCTTCTTCTGGGATAGATCCACAGTCATCCAAGTCCTTCAGAAAGCGCATTCAGCCCTCAGATACTGTTTTCAACACTCCACCAGATTGTCTTCCAATTATCCCCACATCTTTGATTAGTGTTCTTGAAACTGGAATAACTTCCATCATCATCTACACTGCTAATTTTCTTCCCTGAATCATTTTGTAGTGTCTCCTAAAATTCCTGGGTGCTCTTGTTCTACTGCTCCAGTTTTTACCAGCTGTCCTCATCCTCATAGGACTCCACCTACCAGGAAAGGTTAATCACCTATGCCCCAAACTATTTCCTGGCTTTCTCACCAGGAACAATCTAACATGAAATCTGTGTCTCACTCCCTGTAAACGGTTTAGAGCAGCTTTTCAAGATTTGAATACTGAATATATTTCCCCTTATCCTTTCATTAGTTCAGTAAATCCCTTATAATCACCTTTACAAACCACCTTATCAATCCCTCATAGTGAAACCCAGTTCCCTTAAAAACTAGGTTAGTAGCATAGAGGCTGACACATCATTAAGTCACCTCTCCTTTCAATCTGTTACTCTTATCTTTTCTTCCTCACATCATTGATTGATCCTTGAACCATCCTTTCTGCTCACATGTTTCTCTCCTCTTTCTTTCCCTTCCCTTGTTTATATGTGTTTTTATCATCAAACAAATTACATAGGTCCAATAAAAGAGTCTTGACCGAGAAAATCTCAAACTGGTCCTTAAAAACTTCACTTATTAAAATCTAATATCAGTTAGTGGTTTGGGAAAAAAATCAATTCCAAAACTCATAACCTGGTCTACCCAATTAAATTGACTTGACAATTTCATTTGATGCTCTGATACAAGTATTTTACTCATCAGAATGATCATGACTCTATTCACACATTTACTCTTGACAGAAATCATTCCTTTACAATACAATCCATCCTCATTACACTGATCATCAACTCTTGAAGACTCAATCACCTTGAATTTTTCATTTCAAAATTTTGCATTCTATCCATATCAATCAATACTTTTACTCACTAAAATCTTGCCTCAGTTTATCAACTAAATCCATGTCAATATTCAAACTTTTTTTTGAATCTTTCTTCTCATAAAATCTATCTTCTCCAATCCCTTCATCAGGTGAAAGCAAGTAGTGAGAGCAGTTAAAAATTTTGTAAGGTGACTTGCATGAGCTCTTGAATGTTGCTCTGGAAGAAGGTATGTGCATGGAAGCCTTCTGAACCAAGGCAACTTGATCAAAAACCAAAAAACTATACTACACAAAATCCCATAACATTACTGGACCTCTCATTGCCCCATCCCTCAATGGGTTTGTTAGAGACAAGGGTCCATATTTCTGGCTGGTATGGAAGGTGGGTGTGTTGCTTATCAAACAAGAAGGCATCCAAAGTAAAGAAAAAAAAATTGGGGAGAAATCTGACACCTGTGTGACCCAAATTTTTCTGTTTGAAATTCCAGAAAGATTAAGGCTGTGACCCCAGGTTTTGAAAAGGTGGTAGCACTTGACGCATTCCACAGATCCGAATTCACCCAGGGTCTGAAGGTTATTCCAGGGGGGGGGGGGAGTGTACTGAATACCAACACCTCCAAACAAGTCTTCTCCAAAGGATATCAAGTTATCTTTTGGCTGAAGAGACCTTTTAATCCAGAAAGCTGCAAACGACTCCTTTGTGTAAAAAAGTTGTGCCATACAAAATTCTCTCTGTGTTTTTTTTTTCTCACATTTCTTGTACATCTCAACTAAAAAAAAAAAAAAAAAAAAAAAAAAAAAGAGCGAGCGTTAGTACTACATGTGGGGTTTGTGGATCGGATGGTGTACATGTGGAGGAAGTCGTGGGATTTTTATTTATTTACAGCGTCTTGTCGTGCTTCAATATCTGGTAGTGTTTCTTGAGTACTTGTACGTCCAGCTTCCGCACCGCCGAGAACAGCTGGTAGGCTTTCCTGATGAGACGGAACAGTCGGAACATGTTTTTCTTGTGGTGGTGGTGGTCGAGAGTGGTGAGATGTCAAGGTGGAAAACTCTAGTTCGGTGCGACGGGAGACTTGTTGGCAGGCTGTGCTCGGCTGCGGCTCAGCCAGCCGGAGGAGACTACATTCGGAGGACATAAAGCCGGATGAGACTACACCACTCTTCCGGGAAAAACATACGGAATATAGAGCACTCCATCAAGATTATCTCGGCCCGGCGCGCTTCTCTCCACTCGCAACCAGGCGCGCCGTGCCACGGCCATGAGCAAGTGTACGTAGATCTCTCCCTCGCGTTACTCACCCGCGGCTCACCTTGACTTCATTTTTGGGCGGGTCCACTCTTTCTCGGCATCTTCTTGGGAAAGACCCAGATCTTGTCATGCCCGACAGAAACTAACTTATCCACACTGTGCGACAAACAGCTTCACCACTATTAAATAAATTTATGGTGTTTCAAGTTCGTCTGGGCGCATGCCCAAGTCCCGCTTGGCATAGTGCCAAGGGAGCTTGGTTTAGTGCCCAGGGGGCTTAATCAAGCAGCTTGGCCGGGCCGCGGATCTTGGCACACAGCCAAGTTCTGCTTGGCACAGCCCAACTCTAGGCCGATGAGCGATCACGAACCACCGAGTCAACAGAGGTCAACAAGGTAGTCGATCACTCAAATAAGTCCTTTTTTTTTTTCTTTCATTCTTATGTGATGTCTAGAGAAAAGTCAAAAAAAAAAAAAATGTTTTGGATGTGTTAGTTGTGTAGAGCAGTTGATTGAAATAAGTTGTGACCCCCGATACTACCAATGTACTGGTCAAGAATTGAGCCTGCCGACCAAGTTCGGCAGGCGTACTCTTGAGAATCGACCCCACCAAGTTTGTGTGTGAGTTGCGCTTGACCCACCCCAAGTTAACCAGGCCTTGGGTATGTGCCAAGCAAGCTTGGCCATAGTCCAAGCTGGCTTTAGGGTTGGCCCAGCGCACTTGGGCTTGAAACCACCTAACTTTGGTGCCAAACGAGGTTGAAACACCATATATGTCATCTCTGAAATAATTCAAAAATTAGTATTGGATCACAAACTAAATAATGGAGGACGTCCCGTCAATCTAGAAAATCTCTCCCAGATCTGGGAGGAATGTTTCCAGATTTCGGGAAATACCCTGGGGCTAAACATCTCCTAAATTTACGGGAACACTTGTTGTTTTTCCAAAAATATAGGATATCCAAGACCCATCAAGCATGACTGGACAAGCTGGATCATGCAGGAACCTCAAACGGATGTCCTCAATGATCAACCTCAAGACAATACACCCACCACCAATGATGCTAATACCAATATGAATCCACCTCCGGCTTTGCAACACTCAGTAACAAGGCTCACATGGTCGTTCTAATCAAACCACGGTGAACCCAACCAAGCATAAAGGTGGTTGTGCACCTGGCTCCTAGGGGTACAGTCCATCTGACTGTGCAGCACTCGTGTTGGCAGTGAAGAAGATCTTCCCCTTAGGAGGCCAAGGAGTGGTGTAGTGTAAGGTCCAGGACCTTTACAACCAGTACGCCGTGGACAACAATCAAATATTGGGGAAGCTGATCCATTTTAAAGACAAAGTTCTGAAACCTCACTGACTTGAAAGAGCCAACCGGCAAGGCTGTTTGCCCCCCTTGGATAAGTGAGGCAAAAGCTGTTGATAAGGCCATACATGAACAATTTGTTCACAATGCAATTGTGGACCACTTTGGCAAAAAAAAAATATGAACATATGGAACGTGGGGATGAGGGGTAAGCTTATTTGGTCTTGCATTACTTGTTGTGTAGCATGTTTAATTTACTTGATATATTTTTGAAACAGGTTGGGAGCTCAGGTGTGGATGTCTCCCACTGATGAGTGAGAATCTCATTTGGATGATTAAATCTCCCCACATCAGGAGAATGATCCATCTCAGTCTACCAAGTATCAACAAACAACCCAGAGCTCTATGGATTGGATGGATTCTGTCAGCTTTGTGTATGAAACTTGGGGGATCCAATGGATGTGCCAAGTACTATCACTGTGCTGAAAGTTGATTAAAGCAGAANTACTCTTGACCAGATTTTGGAATAAATATATGTGTATACATACATACATTTATATATTGTGTTTTGATTGAACCTTGGACGAAAGTTGTTTTTTGTGTAACCAGATTATGCATTTAGCAAAAAGTCTTTGTGATTTCTGCCCATTGTTGGTCTGAGCTGTTCTGGCTATGGTGTCACCTCACAACCTGCCCACATCCCACCAACAGAACTTACAAGTTGCCATTATCTGACTTTCTATCCCTTCCTTCCCCAAACAGCCAACCTTTGCCGTTATGGTTTATCAATCCTATGCCCCAGCCACAAAAATCTCCGCCATCCGCAAGTGAATCGAGGGGTTCTCCCAAGCATTTATTTTCAATTCTCTCAGCTTCAGTATCTCTCGACAGTCTTTCAAACAATGGACAGTTCTCTTCGAGGAGACCAAGTGCATCATCTGTGATCCCGAGACCTACCAGACCCGTGGCCGACATCCAAACCTCACAGGCCAAAGAATGTGATTCTGGTGCGCACCAAACCTGGCCTCTTCTTAAAGGAGATCTGCGAGCACATATTCAACTT